TCCCAGAACATTGTATTGTGCCACGCCCAACAGAAATAACCCAGGTGGCGACTTTAAAATCAGGATCTCCTCCGTAGCTAATAGCAATTCCCACCTTAGAGTTTACAAAGACTTATGGGTAGAAAAGCCACACTAAGTAATTTACTACACCGCATGTTGTTTAGCTTATTTATTTCATTTTTTAAGTACTTGACCCAAACTTGGTACATTGATTTTATGACTAATAATAGGTTATCACCCATGATTTGAACACCATTAATCTAAGATTTCTTTACTTAACTTTACTATAGAAACATAAGCTTTTCTGTTTTAATAAGGTGCTTCAAATAATAAAGCATTGTATTAAATAGCATTGCTTTGCAGGATTTGATTATATTCTTTTGGCTAATTCTGATTATTTGTTTTCTATAAGTCCATAGTTAAAGTCTTAACCATCTGAAAATTATATATTAATTAACTGAAGTGTTTTTGAGGCTGTCTGTAACTCAATATAGCATCTCTCCTTTGAACCTTTTCTAATTATGGCTTACCTGGAGTTAAGGGAAGCTGTCATGGTATCAGGGAAGGAAAGGGTTCTTGCTGGCATGGGAGTCAGGAAGCTGAGATATTGACCCTCAGCCCTGTCACCAACATACTCTATATAGCCTTAATAAGTCTTTTCTTCTTCTGGCCCTCGGTTTCTGTACGTATTAAATAAGGAAGTTTGCTAGCTCATTTTGAAATCACTTTCACTCTTTGAAGTTTGGAGTGCTTGGACCATCAGTCATTAGAATTTGTTGAAAATACATCTGATGAAAAAGAATGGGGCTTTTCTGTTGGAATTACTGGTTTCACTGATCACCTTTACATTTGAGCAAAGCTTAGGCAGCTAATATTTGGTTTAGTGTGGTTCTTGGACAGGAGTGATTCCTCCGTTATGAAAGCACTTCAGAGTAATCTTGATGTCCCCAAGATTTCCCTATCTTTAGGTTGTATTCTTAGTAAAGGACAGGGTTATGTGAATGTGTATGTGAATATCCTTTAGTGATGAGAATGACAATCCATTGCTGTTGAGTTAATTCTGACTCATAACCCTATGGGACAGAGTGAAACTGCCAGGGCTATAATCTTTATGGAAGCAGATTGCCACATCTTTCGTAGAGTGGCTAATAGATTCAAATCCCGTACCTTTCAGTTAGCAGTTGAGTGCTTAACCACTGAGCCACTAGGGCTACTTCTGGGAACAGCAGGGGAGTGTTTATTCAATCAGTTGAATGTTCTCATAGACAAATTCAAAGCTTCAGAGAGAAATCTGTAACCTCTGGCAAGCCCCAGGTGATAGTTTTTTGAGTATCACACATTGCAGTAGTCTGCAATGGGAATTTTCTTTTTTCTAATGGGAGTTGCATGTTTGGGAGAGAGGGAGACCATATTTCCTAAACTACACCTCTTTAAAACAACAAACACCTCCTTAAAACAACAAATGAACAGAATAGCAGTTTTTGTGATGACAGTCCTTCATGTTTAATTTATTTGTTTATTTATTTATTTACTTATTTATTTAAGAAGCGGGGATTTGATTTGCAGTTTTGGGTGGAATAGATTTTGGAGACCATCTCCTGCCATTTTGCTTTCTAGAAAACAGGCCATAAATGATCTTAGCTGGATCTCCAGGTGGAGACAGACTTAGGAGTAGGTTCTTGGTCTCCTTATCTAGGTCCAGGGTTCCCATTTACTTTTGATTTGTAGCTTATTTGGGAAGCTCTACATTTAGAGAAAAACCTAGATACTCAACTGTAACTCATGTTGAAGGGTATGGACCCATGAAAAAGTGCTGTTATCATTCAAGTGGAAATCTGCTCCTACCTGAGGAACTAATGAGGAATTTTAAGGCTTTTTCTTAAAGGCTCCAGTATAGATATAAATTTCTGGGAAGTGATCCTCTGAACCACACATGACTGAGACATAGACTAGATTTCTTATAGTTCCTCTGACCATGTGAGAACCAAGCTATCTGTTCGTGGGAAGATGCAAAAGTTGTTAACTCTTCTGTTATTTTAGCAATATTAGCACCACCTTTTAGTATAGAAGTGCATAGGAATTTCTGGACTTCTGGGTTCTGATTTTGTGGTTATTATTCCCTTCAGGTCAGGGACTGAGCTAACCATTGTTTCAGGGCACCCTGTGCTTTGCACTGAGCCATTTTCATGTGGAGTGTTCTGAATGAAGACTTTGTGCCTACTAGTCACTGTTTTGTGGATTGCAAGTTACAAAGCTGATCATCCTGGAATATTAGAGTTTTTGAAGTGAACAAAATGTTTTTCTTTTTATGTTGAAGTATTACTAATGAGGTGTCCTCTGCTCCTCCTTCTTCATTCTCTTCAGTATGCCGAGATTTTGCTGTCCTGGAAGACCACACCCTGGCTCACAGCCTGCAGGAACAAGAGAGTAAGTAATAGTCCTGCTTACTCATGTTCCTTCAGTTTTCTTTTTTAATAGTAGCTTGAGACTCGCTTCCTAGGGTTAGGCAGAAAGAGAATATAGTCAACAGACTACAACATCTTTCATCCTGAAGAATTTGTCCAGGCAAATGACGCCTGGATAAAGAATGAAGTTTTGGGTGTTTTGAAGAAAGACAGCTGCCAGGGATTAGAAGACTGCTGGGTCTGTAGAGTGGAGGAAGAGAGGAAGTTGATCCTTTCTCTTACCTGAGTCTTATAGGAGGGAGACAGTGGTTGTAGATGGATCTAGGATGTATAGAAGACAGGCATAGGAATCTATTCCTCTCTCTAGAGTGGAAGACTAAACATCTTTTCCAGGCAACAGTGGTATCTAGTTTAGGTCACATTGTGGGTTTTCCTGTATATCTATGTATGTACAATAGAAAGTAAATCTAAGTTATATGTGTTATATGAAAGTACACACTAGTTTATCTACTATTATGAATAGAAGCCTAAGTGGTACAACTGGTTTGCGATTGCCTGCTAACTTAAAGGTTGGCAGTTTGAATCTCCTGGTAACATGGTGGAAGAAAAGCCTGGTGAATTGCTTTTGTAAAGATTTCAGCCACGAAAACTTTATAGAGGAGTTCTACTCTGTAACACGTGAGGTTGCCAAGTATTGGTGCTCGACTTGACAACTGCCACCATTATTGTGAGTAATTTTGATTTGTGAACTGTTAATTCATGTGTCAGTACAAAAATTGAGGATTGAAAAGTACAGTTAATAGAGTGGTGACATGTCATGTGGTAACAGAGCACTGTCCCTGGCTTCACAACATTTGTGTATAACTTCTGCCTTGGCCACGTTTGGCCAGGTGATCAAAGTCAAATCATTTAACCTTTTCTGATTCGGTTTTTACTTCATTCAAGAATGGGAATAGTGGTTCCTTTACTCCTCATTATATACAGTTGTTATGGGATGTGAAGCTCTTTTTAACTAAACTACACCTAAACTACACCTCCTTAAAACAACAAATGAACAGAATAGCAGTTTTTGTGATGACAGTCCTTCATGTTTAAAGCTCTACTTAAATTTATTATGAAATTTATTGTTAATAAGTTAAAGCATTGTAACTTTTCACGTCTCAATCTTTTCTGTCCAGTTGAGCATCATTTGGCATCGAACGTTCAACGAAACCGTTTGGTCCAACATGATCTCCAGGTGGCTAAGCAACTCCAAGAAGAAGATCTGAAAGCCCAGGCTCAGCTCCAGAAGCGCTACAAAGACCTGTGAGGATTTGGGGAATGGGAGGGAGTCATGCCAGGACTGGCTTTCTCTGTGGAGCAAGCAGCCAGGCCAGGGGACAGGGGAGCTCATCTCCTGTTCCTATTCCTTTCACTATTAAATTTCAAATTCTGCAATAGTTTTCTTTGATAGGAAAATATTTCTTTTTTCTTGGAACACTTGACTAGGTTTGGGGATGTGTGGATTCTAGTGTGACTGTCCCCTCCCTGTGCCTGGTGTGAATTCTAACACTTTTTAACTTATGACTTTGATCCACTTGGTCCACTTCTCTGAGTCTGCTTTTCTCACCCAGTAACATTGAGAAAATCATCTCTGCCTACCGTACCTCATAGCTTGTTTTGGGGGAGTCCAGTGAGATGATGACTGTCAAAGAACTTCATGAGTATTGGTTCTTTTACTCTTTACAGGTTCCTTTACCTTTCTTTTGCTGTTTATATTTTCCTTGAACCCCTTGCTTTTCCAGTCGAAGTGGAAAACTCTAAATTATGCACTCTCTTCTCTTCATAATTTCAGTGTCTTGACAATGAGTTCTCTCTGTCTGCTTCTTTATTAGAAATATAAACAAAAATGATCATTCCTAAGGTCCCTTCTAGAATGACTTTTTTTCTTCTTTCCCAGAATTTTAAGAGAGAGGATGCATCTCTTTTTTTGAGAAATATAACCTGAACTTTTTATAAGCTAAATCTCTGATGATAGATTTAAGCATTATTTAAGCATTGAAATAATGCTTTTTGAGGAGGAAGAAGTAAAGGGAGAAGGGAAGGAATCCGTGCTGTTGTAGTTAGGTGCTATGGAGTCAGCTCCGACTCATAGTAACCCTTTGTACAATAAAACGAAACACCGTCTGATCCTGTGCCAGCCCCACAATCCTTGCTATACTTGAGCCCATCGTTGGCAGCCACTGTGTTGGTCCATCTCATTGAAGTCCTTCCCTTTTAAGTTGGCCCTCCCTCCACTTTACCAAGCATGATGCCCTTCTCCAGGGAATGGCCCCTTCTGACAATGTGACCAAAGTAGATGGGACGAAGTCTGGCCATTCCTGCTTCCAAGCAATTTTCTGGCTGCACTTCTTCCAGGGCAGTTCTGTTAGTTCTTCTGGCAGTCCATGGTACTTTTTGAGTAATCTTCACCAGCACAACTCAAAACATCAGCGCTTCTTCGGTCTTCCTTATTCATTGTCCAGCTTTCACATGCATATGAGGTGATTGAAAATGCCATGGCTTGGATTAGGCCCACCTTAGTTTTCAAAGAGACATCTTTGCTCTTCAGCACTTTAAAGAGGTCTTTTGCAGCAGATTTGCCCAGTGCAATATGTCATCTGATTTCTTGACTGCAGCTTCCATTGGTGTTGATTGTAGAACCAAGTCTCAGTTTCAGCGAGCAAATTGTGTTGTCTGCATAACATAGCTTGTTAATAAGCCTTCTTCCAGTCCTGATGCCACATTCTTCATATAGTCCAGGTTCTCGGATTATATGTTCAGCATACAGATTGAATAAGTATGTTGAAAGGATACAACCCTGAGTCATTCCTTTCTTGATTTTAAACCATGCAGTGTCCTCTTGTTTTGTTTGAATAACAGCCTCCTGGTCTGTATACAGGTTCTTCATGAGCACAATTAAATGTTCTGGAATTCTCATTCTTCTCAATGTTACCCATAATTTGTTATGAAATTATAGCAGTAACAAGGTAAATACAAATTAGGATTTAGAGATTGATGATTTATGGGTCCCAAGTGAGGAAAGAGCCAAATATTCTATTTCTCTCTGGAACTTAAGGGTTCAAGAGATGTTCATGGCTCAAGTGAGTTAGGAAGGAAGTTTTTCAGTTTTTACTCCTCTCGTAACATTGACAACTGGGTGTCACAGGAAGGAGGGAATGTTGCAAATTTTAGGGAACTAGAACCTTTCACCCGATCTTGATTCCTGGGGCTCCTGTCTAACATGAGGCTGGTCGCTGGCTATTCCTTTCTAACTTGGTTTTGCTTCTTCATGATTTTGTTTAATTAGCTAATTGAGCCAGAGATGGTCCTTCCTATAAATATGGTTTAAAATCATTAAGCTCAGCTGAAACTTTACTTTTCTATTTTCTATACCAGGAGATACATCTTCTGTGTCATTTAAGACCTTTAATACTTAATTTGGCTTTGCCTGCTGTTCTGGGCTTCTCTTTGCTTTCTTTATATTGTCATTTTGCATGTAGTTAGTCACTAACTCCTGTAGATATTATTGCTTCCCCTCACCCTCCAAACTCTCAGTTACGAAAGACTGCTATTGCACAGGAGGTATACATTAAAGGTGGAGGCTTAATGAGTATTTTAGGTTCTATTTGAGAGATATCTGTTTAAATAAACTTGATAAATAAATCACAATTGTAATTTTATTCCAACATCTTTTTGGATAGTGGACTCTAAGCATGCTTATGTTTATCTTTCCTACCTAACAATTTTGTGTACAGATTGGAGCTATCATGTTCTAGAGTTTTAAACTGCTCATTGACTTTTCTTGAAACCTGAAACCAAAATGTTGAGCAACTAAGGGCAAATTTTGTAGCCATCTCAGAGAGAACTAAACTCTCTTTTCTGTGGGAAAAGTTGCCTTAAAAGTGCTATCTTAAAGGACCTGTTTTCTTTCACCAGAATGTATTGTGAGTTTCAGAGACTAGGAAAAGGGTTTATTCATTTTTGTATTCTCCTGGTCCAGGTATTTAAATCACTGTTAAATGCACAAATGCCAGGAGAATCTGTGATAGTAGCAGTATTACAGCATTTGGTTTCCTTAGTGGACAAAATATTAAGAAAATTGGCAGAAGCTAGAGTGGCTTCTACTGTAGAAACAAAAGCTGGGAAAAATACGGTTTTTCTCCTTTTTTTTTTTTTTTTCTTTTTACAGATAATTAAAATTTTAATTATCTTTATACAGATAATTAAAATGACTTTTAGAGTTGTAAAAATGGCATAGGGGTGGCATCTTATCCTGACCTCCTCTGACTTCATGATGAGGAGAGAAAATCACCATCAGCAGCATCAGCAAAAGACTGATTCCTGGGAGACATAGGTCAGACATGCTGCTGCCCTGTAATCCCTTTGCCGGTTCTGACACCAGCCGTCTCTCCCATGGCATGCTCTACTTCTCTGCTGGGTTAGATAATTGGTTACAGTGGCTGCACAGAACTCACAGAACAGTAGTCGTGATTATGGAGTTTATTAGGGAAGTAACAGGTTACAATTCAGGATTAGAAAAAAACCGAGGATACAGTTCTTCCATGAGGACAACTTCTCAGTTGTACCGTAGGCATGCTTCTCTCTGGCCTCAGCCTCTGCCCTGCTTGAGCAAATGTTACAAAGCTCTTTTAGCTTTGCTGTGTAGGTACCCAGAGAGGCACCACACTCTGCCAGCCAGCCTCCTGCCCAAAGTCACTCAGCTTTCCTGCTCCATGGATTGTGAAGCCTGTCACTTTCTCTCATACTGGTCTTTTGGTTCTTTTGCTACCATCTCTCTGCTGCCTTTCTCAGAAGGAGGACCAGCGCAGGGATCACAGGTCTAAGGATGTACTTCACAACCTGGCTTTTCTCTCCTAATGGCAGTGAGAGCCCCCTTTTCCACTTTTTGGATGACTCATTTTCAGCCTAATGGGATGGCAAAAGTGACCAATCCCTGCATTAAGGTTCCTTACACGTTATTTTGCGTGGTCCCACCCTTAAGAGATGGGAGCTCTGGTGGCATAGTACCTAAGGCATTGGGCTATGGACCTTATTTACATACATTACTAATGAGCTATCCAGTCCCATTGGTGGGCCACAAAGCACTTCATAAGTTCACTCAGTCATCTGGTAGGAGTCACAAAGAGTATGTCTAGGAGAGCCATATTAAGTAACTCACTGAACCACAGAAGTCCCACAGTATTATTGCCAAATTGGTGAGCTTGCTCCTGAACTTTTTCTATATTTTATATGTATCTGAATATTTGTTGACATTAACCTCATAGTCTAAATCTCTTTTTGCAGAATACCCAGAAAACATGCCTGTCTTTCTGTATAGTGGCCCCAGTAAAGTAAGGTGATCTGGGAGTGTAGGAAAAATCATGATGCTTTCCATTTTAGTGTCTGGGATTCCAATTCCAGCTCAGCCTCACCTTTGTGATCTTGGGGAATGATTTAACTTCCTTAGGCCTCAGTTTTCTCATCTGTAAGGTGTGACAATATCAACTTCTTTGCCTGCTTATTGTGAAGATGAAGTGAGGTAGAAATGTACGCTGGCTCATAGTGGCTGTCCAATGGTGCTTATTTTTAGGAAGAATCATTCCTTATTTTCTTTCTTTACGTTATTTTCACCTTTGCTTTTTAGTGAACAGCAAGACTGTGAAATTGCTCAGGAAATCCAGGAGAAGCTGGCAATTGAGGCGGAGAGACGGCGCATTCAGGAGAAAAAAGATGAGGTATATCTTAGTTAATGCCCCTCCACCCATGCAGAAAGGGTGGTTGGCCCTAGATCAAATAGTTTATCTACTTTTTCACTGAATGTGGGTTGCTGAATGGTATGCAGAAATCTCTTTTATTTTGGGTGGGACATTCCAAACAGTGCAGTCCTTGGATCACTGTTTATTGCCTCTTGAGCAGCCATGTAAGTGGTGAAGTCTTAAGAGATGATAATGGATAATTTGACAAAAGGTATCTGCCCTTGGGACATTCTTAATTACTTCAGAGAAAGCAGACCTTGAGTGTGGTCATTGTGACCTGTTTTCTGTCTATTACTTTCTTCTTTCTTTCCTTTTTTTTTTTTAATAGTTTCATTTTCCCATGATATGGTAGCTCAGAGAACTAATATGTTTGCTTCTGGATTATTCTTTAAGTTGCATTATTTTTAAAGCTGGAAATGACTGAAATTAGCAGTAGTTTTTGGTTTTCAATAAGACTTGCATTTGCACTTAACCACTGTATTTGCTTTTGTGTTATATTTTTGGTACTTCCCACAATCTCATTTCAATTTGCATTTATTTTGTGTTTTCATTCTTTCACATTTCCCAAGGAGGGGGTCACTGTGAGTTGAATCGACTCGATGGCAGTGAGTTTGGATTTTTTCGTCCTGTTCTTGGTAATTGTCTTACTTTATAACCAGGATGAAATAACCTGTCATTTTTAGGAGTAGGATGGCCATATGATTTATTTTTTATACAGATGCTTTTGAAGCTTAAAGATGATATTCCTAATAACTACATAAACTGCCATTGGGCAAACCAGTACACATGATCACCCCACTAAATAGATATGATCAGGGTCATCAGTAAACTAGCCTATATACCTTACTGTTTCCACCAAGCCACCTTGTTCCTGTAACCCTTCTTTTTCAATGCCACACACGTGTAAGACACCTGGTATGAGTTTATTTGGCTATTTCTTCAAGAAACAAACAGTGATTATGTGATAATCAGAACTGCATGTAAGAATTAGGAATTACTTTTGATCCTTCCTGTTACCCACACAGGGGGCTCTTCTTACTACAGGATGTGTTGCTTCTCTATAGTCAAAACTGCTTTGACTGTGAACTGAAAGAAGTGATTATATTTTGTAGACAGGAAAGCTTCTATGTTAAAAATGTTAGAGTAATGAAGTTGGCTTCTTATAAATGCTACTTGTGTCCTGTGATTTTTCCCCCCCCCATTCAGGGAAAAACAGGGTAGAAAGAGAAACTAAAACACTTTATTTTAAGCTAGTATCATGCTTTTTTGGAGAATTGAAATAAAAATCATAGTAAGTCATCTAATGGTCATTACTATACAAAGTAAGCAATGTAGTGATTAATCCCATTTTTCTAATGAAGAAGTTAAGTCTTGAAGTATTAAGTCTGTGGTCCCAAGATATAATAAGATGCCAGGGGAATGTCTGTACAATTCAGGTCTCCTGACTTATTACTTCTAATTTAGATATGCTGTGGTCCTAGAACATAAAATAAGTGGCCTTTGCAGTTAGATTGGCCTTGGTTTGAATCTCCACTCCCTTTACTTTTGTTGACACTTATTCTTAGAGAACCTCAGATTTCAAATGGGGTTGTCTTGATAATTGTGAGGTTTAAATGAGATAATGTATTTAAGTCTTCTGATACATATTAAGCAATTGTACTTTCTTTTTTCCTTTCTTTCCAAGTGTTTTCCCCACCATTCTAATCTGCCCTTGTAACAAACTTTTCTTCTTTATAGAGAGACATGTAAAATTAGAAAGGGAAAAAGTAAACAGACAACTGTGTTCCTATATGATGTGATTTGAGGATTGTGCAGAGTTTATTTTCCTTGTAGGCCTCCTGCTAGTTTGTGCTCTGCTTCTGTGTGACCTGCTGGAATGTTGTTCCATCCCTGGTACACTGGAGAGGGTAAATGAGAAATCCAGTCATGGAGATTTAGTGAGATAAAATAACCTTTAAAGTCTCCTCAGACTTTTTTGACTATCAAACTCTTGCCTTCATTAGAAGATGCTACTGTACCAAGATACTCTTTTATCATAGAAAAAATGTAACTCTTACCTGACTAAAAACCAAACCAAATGCCATTGAGTCAATTCTGACTCACAGCAACCCCCTTTGGGTTTCAAGGCTGTAAATTTCTACAGAAGTAGATTGCCTCATCTTCCTCTTGTGGAGCAACTGGTGGGTTTGGACTATGAACCCTTCTGGTTAGTAGCTAATGCCTTACCCACTACACCACCAGAGCTCCTTAGCTGACTAGTATGTTGTTATTCAGTGAACAAAATTTACGTTAATAAAGTTTGTTATTGAAGGATATATTATTTATTTGTTAAATGCTTATTTATTTGTTTTTGTCCATTGGAAGACAAGATGCCTCATAGTCAGAGGAGACTAAAACCGAGAAAATAATGCTAATTCTTTGGCCCAGCTCTTGAAATAGCATTGGCTGTTCCTCTTGAATTGTCCCAATTCTGTTTGTTTGTTTTTTTCCCTGTGTTCTTCTGTTTCCCTTTTATTTCTGCTTAGTTAATAAATTCTTATTTATTACCAAGGCTGTGGAAAATTCCTCTCTGGGTTTTCACTAAAATCTCAAAAGATTTATGATGTTAGCCCTCCTGAGGGCATTCACAACTTATTGTATACTGCTCCCCTCCTCCATCAAAAAAAAAGAGAAAAGAAAACCACCCAAACCAGATATAGAGGCTAAGGCCTCTTTCCTTTGAAACAGAAATTTTGTGAACAGTGTATAAGAAGTAGTGCACTTACACAGCTTTGTGTGGGTGGGTTAGGTTAGCATGTCTAGCTCTATTGTATTTTTAAAGCAGGGCTTCAAACTGGTTCACTCTTGGCTGGCAAAGGGAAACTGAAACAGACTCAATTTTTAAAAATTTTAGTAACCTGGAATGCTAACCGGAACAAGAAAAATGAACAGGTTGAAGCCCTGGAATGGAGGACTTTGAAGAAGTATAGTGAGACTTTTTGCAGGAACCTGATATGTGATTGGATTATTTCCAGGACTGTGAAGCATGGCACATGTTCAAAGCAGCACGGTTGGCCGCCATCTTTGAGCCAAACACCAGTGTTTTCAGCCTAGCGAGTCAAGACATTCGGTTACTGTGCAATGCATATGCTGACATTGTTTCTAAGAGGAAGATTAAATTTGTGCAGGGTTTTGACCTATAAATTTTCCTGTTCTGGTTAGCATTCTGGTTTATCTAGATTTAAAAAATTCGAATCTATTCTGGTGTTGCTTAATTGGCCTTCACTGAACTGAACTGAACTGGTTCAAAGCCCTGTTTATAAAGAGTGCGGATGTAAGGAAAGTAGCACTTCCCTTCAGGGAGACAGATATGGAAAATTTAAAAAGAAAAGGAAGAAAAGCCCCGTCCCTCCATTAAATTCTTACTAGCCTTGTGATCACTGTCCCACCTCATTCTTTCTCTTTGTATCTCTGTCTCTTTTATTATATTTTTTAAACTCTTATTCAGTTCCTTGAATGTATTAGTTGAATTTTTATGCACCCTGTTGAAGGTTCAACATTCAATTAAATATAATTGAGTTCCTTCTTTTCAGTCACAGCAAAAACTTGTGTCAGTGCTATTTAATAAAGCCAAGGAATGTGTGTTGAGCTGATTTAACTTAGTTCTTAAATAGAACTCTAATTTTGTGTGTGTGTGTGTTTACCTATAGCTATACATGTCACTGTGTGAACTCAAGTCCAAATATATGTGAATGTGAAAATACTTATTTTTTCTTTTTCTGAAATAAATGGTAGTATGGCCAAATATGTTAGGAGAAGCTTGTGGTGCTAGTCCAACAATTTGAAGCCACTTATGATATGAACTGTTCAAAGATAGACTTTGTAACTAGTTTACATTAAAAGCTATGTAAGTCAGCCATGATACTTTTTCATGCTATAAAAGAATATTTATATACGTTGGTAATATTTAGATAATCACTCAAATAGTCATGAGCTTTAGTTATTTAAAAAATTCTTATGTGTTTTGACTCTTTAAAAATAAATTTGTATATACAGGCACAGAAAGGAGAGGAGGGGAGAGGTTACTACTTGAGAAAATTCTTTCCCTCGCTTATCCTAGATGTTTTTATATCCATGTTGTTGTTGTTGCTGTTAGGTGCCTTCGAGTCAACTCTCACTCATAGCGGCCCTATGTACAACAGAACAAAACACTGCCCAGTCTTACGCCATCCTCACAGTCCTTGCTATTATGCTTGAGCCCATCTTTGCAGCCACTGTGTCAGTCCATGTCGTTGAGGGTCTTCCCCTTCTTTGCTGATGCACTACTTTATCAAGCATGATGTCCTTCTCCAGGGAGTGGTCCTTTCTGACAATGTGACCAAAGTAGGTGAGACGAAGTTTGGCCATTCTCACTTCCAAGGGGCATTCCGGCTGTACTTCTTCCAGGACACATTTGTTTGTTCTTCTGACAGTCATGATATTTTCAGTGTTCTTCATCAGAAGCCCAATTCAAAGGCATCAGCTCTTCTTCAGTCTTTTTTATTCATTGTCCAGCTTTGACATGCATATGAGGTGATTGAAAAGACCATGGCTTGTATCAGGCATACCTTAGTTTTCAGAGTGGCATCTTTCGTGAAGTTTTCTCAGTGCAGTATGATGTCTGATTTCCTGACTGCTACTTGCATGAGTGTTGACTGTGGATCCAAGTAAAATGAAATATTTGTGCAAAAAGGACAAGGAGGCCACATGTTCTGACCTCTTCTAATCCCACAAGAGGAAGACAGAATCACCATCAATAGCCCAAGGCCTATTCCTGAGAGGCCAGACATGCTGCCTCTCTCCAGCCCTTTCTCCAACTGTTCCTCCCAAAGCACCCACAACCTCTCTCCTGGGTTCAATAATTTGCTGCAGTGGCCACACAGAACTCACAGATTATGAGGTTTATTAGGGAAGCACCAGGATATAATTCAAGTTCAGGAAAAAAAGTGCTCAGTCTCTCT